TAAATAATCTTGCTAAATAATCTTACTAAATATTATTACTATATAATCTGGCTAAATATCCTTGCTGAATATTATTCCTAAATAATCTTGCTAAATAATCTTACTAAATATTATTACTATATAATCTGGCTAAATATTCTTGCTGAATATTATTCCTAAATAATCTTGCTGAATATTATTCCTAAATAATCTTGTTAAATATTCTTGCTGAATAATCTTGCTGAACAATACTACTAAATAATCTTGCTAAATAATCTCACTAAATATTCTTATTAATTAATCTTGCTGAACATTCTTACTAAATAATCTTGCTGAAAATTATCATTATATAATCTTGCTAAATATTATTACTATATAATCTCGCCAAATATTCTTGCCAAATAATCTTGCCAAATATTCCCATCAAAATATCTTGTTCGATATTCCTACTAAATAATCTCGCAGCATATTATCACCGAAATAAATTTGCCGAATATTATTACTAAATGGCTTCTCGACCGCGCGCGTCGGCCATCCAAATGCAAAAGTAAAATGTGCAAATGCGAAAATATTCATGAATACATGTCAATTTATAAACACGCGGCGCTCCAGAATTGAAACATAACATCGCCTCGCACCCCCCTTACCCCGCGCGCAGGATACGGTCAATATAATAGCAATTTTCGTGGCGAAAAATACTTGAAAAATTCGGCATTTCTCGATGGGCTATCCGCGAATCGAACACCGGAATAATGGGATTTACGCGCGATAAATTCGACGTTTTACCGAGCAAGAAACTAACATAATCGAGACCCGTGGACGGAGAACCGTAATTAGAGGATGAAAATCATCGCGAGAACATTTCTTTTTTCCGGCGGCTCGGTATAATTTCGTTGGTGGTGTTGCGCGCGTTCATTGGTTTCAATTACCGCGGAAAATAGTGGGACGGCAGATAACTATACTAAATTGACCCAGTTCAGTTGAAACGAATCGCTCCAGGGAAAGGATCTGAATATTTCGTTTTATTAACCGTACAGATTTCGCGGGTTTACTGCGCCTTTAACGACGCCGGACCGTTTTCTCTTCTCGTCGCCGATCTTTTACGAGTGCCTCGTCATTCGGCGTTCCACGATGCACCGACGCGAAGTATAATAATGTTTATCTTTCCGTGATCTATGATGCATCTAACTTACAAACCGGAGATACCTTGCTCCACGTTCCACTTACGGGTCGATAGATGCGCAACGATAATATTCCGAGCGTCGATTGCTTTCAAAGTCGGTCATCGTACTCACGGAGATGAATTTATGCAAGTACCGCGCTACTTGATGGATCATGCCAATAAGTCTATAATTCGTGTCAATTTGCCCGATCCGTGAATTCAATTTTCGATCGATTTCTTGCATACTGATCATCATCGTAGCGCGGCCGGGCTCGATGCCGAGATCAATCATTTATTTTCTCGAGCCGAATCATCAATTCGTTCGTCGCAATCGGGAGACGTTTCTCGCGGAGCCGGATCAGATTACCGCCGGGCTCCGAGAAGAAGGTACAGTAATGTTTCTGTAATTGACGTTCAGATCGACCACGAAAATGGACAATTTGGGAAGAGGAGATACGATAGTTCGAGCCTTGCGGCTCGTTTTTATGTTGCTGACCGAACAAACTGAATTTAATTAAGATGTCGCGGAAGCGAAAGAGTTCTAATTCACTGGGATAAATTTGAACTTTCTAGTCTCGGTTTTAGTTAATTAAATTGCTCTGACTTTTTGGGAATTTTGGTGGATGATTATCGGCATTGAACTATATTACTGATCCTGAAGATAGCGAGTACGATGGTGACTATTGTAATTTCTCCGTAATTCGTGCTCAGATTACTGTAATGTCTCTCTAATTGTCGCTCGAATTGTCCACAAAAATGGACAATTTAGAGAGAGCCGATACGATTATTCGAGCCTTGCGGTTCATTTTTATATTGCTGACCGAACAAACTGAATTTAATTAAGATGTCGCGGACGCGAAAGAGTTCTAATTCACTATGATCAATTTTGAACTTCCTAGTCTTCCTGAAGATAGCGAGTACGATGGTGACTATAGTAATTTCTCCGTAATTCGTGCTCAGATTACAGTAATATCTTTCTAATTGACGCTCGGATTGTCCACGAAAACGGACAATTTAGAGAGAGGCGATACGATTATTCGAGCCTTGCGGTTCTTTCTTATAGTTACGAACTGTGAACAATTATAAGAACGAGCTGCAGGGCTCCGATAATCGTATCTTCTCTTCCCAAATTGTCCATTTTAGTGGACAATCTGAGCGTCAGTAAGGGAGACATTACTGTACTTACTTTACGCGACCGAAAAAGTTATGCCGCATTTCAAATACAGTAATGGTTCTCTAATTGACGCTCAGATTGTGCAGAAAAATGGACAATTTGGGAAGAGGAGATACGATTATTCGTGTCTCGCAGCTCGCTTTTATAGTCGTTGACAATTCGTGACTATAAAAACAAGCCGCAAGGATCGAATAATACTATCTCCTCTTTCTAAATTGTCCATTTTTGTGGACAATCAACAGATTATTTAGTAGGAATGTTGAACAAGATATATTGGTAGGAATATTTGCCAAGATTATTTAGTAACAATATTTGGCAAGATTATTTGGTAAGAATATTTGGCAAGATTATATAGTAATAATATTTAGCAAGACTATATATTAATAATATTCAGCAAGATTATTTGGTAAGAATATTCAGCAACATCGGTTCATTTTTATAGTTGTAAATTGTCCACAATTATAAAAACGAGCCGCAAGGATCGAATAATCGTATCTCCTCTACCTAAATTGTCCATTTTTGTAGACAATCAACAGATTATTTAGTTGGAATGTTGAACAAGATATTTTGCAGGAATATTTGCCAAGATTATTTAGTAACAATATTCGGCAAAACTATTTGGTAAGAATATTTGGCGAGATTATATAGTAATAATATTTAGCAAGACTATATATTAATAATATTCAGCAAGATTATTTGGTAAGAATATTCAGCAAGATTATTTGGTAAGAATATTCAGCAACATCGGTTCATTTTTATAGTTGTAAATTGTCCACAATTATAAAAACGAGCCGCAAGGATCGAATAATCGTATCTCCTCTACCTAAATTGTCCATTTTTGTAGACAATCAACAGATTATTTAGTTGGAATGTTGAACAAGATATTTTGCAGGAATATTTGCCAAGATTATTTAGTAACAATATTCGGCAAAACTATTTGGTAAGAATATTTGGCAAGATTATTTGGTAAGAATATTTGGCAAGATTATATAGTAATAATATTTAGCAAGACTATATATTAATAATATTCAGCAAGATTATATATCAATAATATTCAGCAAGATTATTTAGTAAGAATATTCAGCAACAGCGGTTTATTTTTATAGTTATTAATTGTCCACAATTATAAAAACCAACCGCAAGGCTCGAATAATCGAATCTCCTTTTCCCAAGTTATCCATTTTAGTGAACAATCTGGACGTCAATTAGAGAGACATTATTGTACTGCCGTCGCCGTCGCCTCGAATTCAGACGAACTCCGTTTCGACGGACGTCGGAGAGCACGCGGCGCCGAGCCGCGTTTATTAACATCGTTACAATTGATATAATTTAATAAACGAATTTTTTAGCCGCAGGAAATTCAGAGTCTGATGGAGAGAAAAAAAAATGAACTGTGGCTCGAGCACGACGTATCGAATGTCGGTGGCCGGCTCGCAGTTTTCGAAAAATTCGCGAAATGTTGCATTTTTCGTTCGGTAAACCGTGGAGGGATCGAATTTTGTTGAAATTATTGTAATTGATATTTGAACAACGCTTCGGAATAATCAATTGAACGGAAAATTCTTTTACACAATATCTCTCTCTCTCTCTCTCTCTCTCTCTCTCTCTCTCCGTAAAAATATGAAATTATTTTATAAAATATCAAAATATATTTTTTATACAGCCTGTAGGGGAATTTTTATCGAGAGTCAAGAAAGAAATTTTAATTTTCAACTGCGCGAAATCCACGCTGCAATATTAATTTTTTTAAGCGTCGTGTTCGTATCGCGGAAGCAGTCTTTACTTTTCGTCAACTCGTTGCCACGGGATAGCGATCAAAGTGATGC